TGCGGACCACGATTGGCGTTATACTGTCTCTAGACTAAAGATAGTACATCGTGGTTCGCATTTGCAAAATATTAGTTATTTATAAAGTATATGTCGTGTATATTAAATATATATTAAAAACCTATAAAAAAAGTGTCGCAACCGATGTGTCCACGACTGTACACATAAATAACGCTATTCAAAATGTTCTTTTTTTAAAAATGCAATTATTTCTCACAACAAATAAGTATATAATGTCAGTATTATAGACGTTCCCAGATTGCAATGTTTTCGATATAGAGATCGCGGATAATTTCTTTCTCTTTTATCAATACAAAATCGACTCAAATGAACTTGCTTTATATTAATGGTAACTGTAATTCACGCATTAGACACTATGTATAATTGCTCACATTTCCATTATTACTTGATTGGTAGATCAATTTATTTGCTCCCCTCAAGGTTACAAATTTTACAAATCTTTACATATCTTTACATACATACATCCTATCTCTACCTTAACCTACAGCCTACAACTTAATCCTATACATATAACTTAAACCTATTTTACAATTACCATTACAATCATCTTGCTCGCCAATTATCTCGCTCGCCAATTACCTATACCCACACACACGCTCTCGCACGTCTCCCCGGGACCTCCGCTTCCGTCGCAATCTTTCCCTATCCATTTCCATTTCCTCAGTTTTCTCTCCTAGACCATTAGCCTCTTCCGATCCTTCTGCATTTACTTTCCCTCCCACTCCCCTCTCCTCTCATTCTCACTCTCACTCTCTTTCTCTTTCTCTCTTACTCTCCTGTCCGTCATTCACTCTCCCCCCTCGTCGTCCTGCTTCTTATCATTCTCCTCCCACCCCCCGTTCCTAAATCTCTCCAATTTCCTTAACCACTCCTCTCCCTCCCCTCCTCCCCCAACACTACTTCTACCATCTCTGACCATTCACCCCTCGCACCCCATCTCCCGCATTCTTCCCACACATGCTCCCACGTTTCTACCTCTCGTT